AATAATTTGCATCAATTAAAATGGCGCTAAAAGTCAACATTTTGCAAAAATCTCAGATATTTTGGGAATTGGCATGCCAGCTAAAAAGTTTTTGAATTCTTTCTGATGTAAGTGGACGGATTGACGCCGCAACAAACCGACTTCTATGGCTGATTTATGGCGCAAAAAAAAACAAATGTATTTACGATTTTCTGATGCACATTGCACATAGACTATATACAGATGATCCAGTAGAAGTAGTTTCTTTTCTAGTAGACAGTAGACTATCCTATACTGCCCTTCACTTCTACAAGCTGTAATCGGCACCAACTTATTTCCTGCGTTTGAAAATCTCCGAAGTCGTCAATTTTACGTGCAGTTATTCACTTGGGATTTTGAAAAAACTGGGGAATAAAAACGGACGGGATTTTTGTGCGGGATATTTTGCGTACGGTAGCATAATGACGCATGAGACACTAGCCACGGAATTTTGTGGCGCAGAATTTTTTGTCGTAAAATTTTGATGGGAGGCCCCAGTGAGCAAACAGAAACTCCTCATGATACAAAGACGGCAAAAATTATGCATGCATTGAAGCAGCGTTTAAGTTCCTCGATGAGCGGCATTTCCAGCAGTATTGACCGTCGAGTCCAGATCCAGGGAAGGATACATTGTGGTGATTAATGAGCACTTCATTTGTCTCTTTATTTATTTAAAAAATAATTATGCGCCTATTTCAGGGTCTTTTATACGTGGAGATTTGGAGAGTTTCCTATGCTGTTGTGCCATACTGGTTGCGTTGGAAATGCCACAATGGGTGAGTTGCCCTGGTCTCAGAATCGTGTTTTAATGCCTGATTTTTGAAAATTACCTAAAAATATTTATATCTGCCCTAACAATAACTCTCCACGTTCAAAATTGACCGAGAAATCCCGCTTTTAAAAATTAGGTTTATAACGTCATCTACTGTCGTATGACACCCTTTCGCAATTGCCCGATTCCGTCCCGCGGTCCGACTCCATGTCCCGATTCCGTCCCTAAAAAAAGAGCACCCAATTTTTCGTCGCCCGATTCCGTCCCTTACCGATTCCGTCCCAAATATTTAAATTTGGATGAATGGCAACGTGGCTCAGGAAATGCCCGATTCCGTCCCGTGCCTCAATAACTCTATAAACTATGGTATGAAATAAAATAAAAACTCACCAGCTGAGAAGAGGCTTCTACATTAATATTTAGTATTCTTCTAATTTTGCGTCAATTTTTTGCTCCATGGAGTCGTGGAGACGTCAACTTAATTAAAACTAGTTTCAGCTTATATAAACATATTTGGAGTATTCCGATATGAAACGCACTTAACAAATTTTAGTCTGGAGATCGCTCCCGAGTCGAACTCCTTTATCCTATTATCCAGAAATCTGATTTTATTTATTTTTGTTCGCGAAACACTTGCATCGAAATGTGCTGCAGAATTTATGTTAATTTGTGAGTCTCTTGAACATTTCTTTAATGCTTCCACAAATAAAAAAATGTTCGGATGAGGGCGATAAAACGAACTGTTAAAACGGGAGTGAAAGTTTTCACATGCATTTGTATTTTTGTTAGGGGCCGCACTTTTTCCGCCCAAACGTTCGGAGGAAAGGTTGCATTTTCTGCAATGTAGGTGTCCTCCAGATATTTGCAGAATGCTATCAACTTCGGACACTCGGTATCAGGTTTTATAGGAAGCAAATCGTCTTTGTAGCAAATACGAACATCTGATGGATCCAGGAATGGCAGGCCAAAAAAATAGTGCAAGAACTTGCCACTTTCAGATGTAGGGTCTTTGTATTCATTACTCATTACTTCATTACTAACAAAATAAGACGAATACATTGATGCCAAGTCATTTAAAAGCGGGACGGAATCGGGCGGTAAATATTTTGGTACCTTTTTTCCAGGGACGGAATCGGGCTATACATTTTTGGGACGGAATCGGATGGTGTGCTTTTGGGGCGGAATCGGGATATCGCCCACCCTTTGTTCCTCCCACCTTGGTTTTATCAATCAGTGAGACACATCTGTACTTGTTACTCAATGTGAAACTTGGACGAAAGCAATGCGAGACTCTCACCATGAGAGAAACCAAGGATATCACTACTGTGGTGGATAATGTCATGAACCGAATTTTGCAAAGCGCGATATCTCGGGTAATATTGAACGTATCTTATTATTTTTAGCCCATCTTCAAAAATCAAGCATCAAAACACGATTCTATAACCAGCGCAACTGAACCATTGAGGTGAACTATTGCATTAATATGGGTCGTTTGAACTTGAGTCCTGAAGTCTTTTAAAAAGGGTCAAAAATCGTCGATAATACAAATAAAAGGCTTGAGCGGCATGACAAGTTCAACGAAGCCTGTAGGGCAGATCATCTGATTCATACCACTCGAGGTCACCCAGGAGGTGGAATCAGCTAACTAGATAATCTGATCTAGACATTATGTAGTCTAACTGAACAGACTGTTTATCACTTTTCCGCTCGTGACTACCTGCCTTTTTTCTTCCTTTATCGGCATAGTGCAGTTCATGTATGATGTTCCTCACCTCTGTACTTAGCTCTCCTTTTTCTATCCTTAAGATCACTAGCGTGCGTTAAATACCATGTGGTTTTGTGTTAAAAGTGTTCAGTCCGATGCTGAAGCTGGGCCGAAATGCTTCTATTTGTTTCCATGTATGTACTTTTAATATGAATTATTTACAATAATTTTTGCCATCAAGTTCTTGAATATTCGCATGAAAATAATATTCATGAATCTAGTTATCATCTCAATACCTAACAAAGTATACGCCTGAATCCAGTGTGCGTCCGATTCGACCAGCGTGTGAAATTTTCAATTTGACTTATGCTTCTTTTTGGGCGACTGTTCCTCATTGTTAAGTTAAATTAACTTCTTTTTTTAAACATTGTATTTTACTTTTTACCATGATTATGGAAACAAAATTTTTAAAAAAATTGTATGATTTTTTCTTTTTTTTGTTAGTAATGAGAGAAAAGATTTGTTTGTTTCAGTCCTAGAAATAAACTTACTTTGCTAAATTTTTCCTTGCATCAAGAATGTCAACCTACTTTCTTGGAAATGTGCAATGTATATAATTATCAAAGCACCATGAAAGACTTTTTACAATACTTAATTTTTCACTATCAAGAGAAAAATCACAAAATATAAGATTCGTTCAAATTTCTTTGCGATTGGCCGGATTACCTATTCGAAGGCTGTAGTGAGAATTGAGGGCGTGTAAGCAAAAGCTTTTTCGGGAAGAAGCCGTCTCTCCTAAAAATCAATTCAAGCCTTTTATGACCATGAACTCAAATGAATGAACGGATACCTGCACTGATTTTCGCCCGGTAACCATCAAGGCCATTAAATTCCGTGCATTAGAACACGGATTTATTGTGCACTGTGTCTTATGCTTTTGCATATTTGCCAATTTTTAACTGAATAGTCATCTTTTTAGCACTAAAAATGTGTAAAAGTCGTAATCCGTAGACGGAGACCTTTACAGAATGAGGAAAAATAATCATGATTTGGTCTGGAAAATTGTCCAAGAGGCACGGTAAAGTTGTGCGAGGGGAGCACACCCTCCACCTACGCCCCCCCCCCCCCCCGTGCGACCTGATGAGGGTGTGTGAGGGGATGGGAGGCGAGCGGTTTTCGATTACCCCCGCGGTCACTCTGAGCCAGTGGCGTGGCGTGAATTGCGATATTTCGATTGTTATGTCATTTAAACCCATAGAAAAGGATCGATAAACAGGGTGTTCGCAGCGAACACCTTCATAATCGATTCTTTACCACAGGTTTAAATGGCAAAACAATCGCTACATCGCAATTCACGCCACGCCACTGCTCTGAGCCAAAGTACATTATCGCCAATTAAATGGCTGATTTGAAGAAGTTCGTAGCCGCCAAAAGTCGAGTTTCAAGGAAACATGAAAAAAATGATTTCCTTGACAATTCTTCATGTTTCTGTTTGGAAAAATTAGCCAATGCTCTTCTAGGGATCACGATCACACAACTGGGGCCATAAAAATAATTTTACAATTTTTTTTGGTGGATAGGCCTTTCTTTCTAATAACCAGACAATGCTGCCATTTTTAGCGGTATTAATGACAGTCAAGTGGGTTGCGTGAAAATTGAGTGTACACAAACATAGAAAACATAGTATGTCCTTGCTCATGGTTTTTAGCACGAGGGGGTACCTTGCGCAGGAAGGGGTGGCTCGAAAATTATGAACCCTTTTTCCACCAAAGAAGATCTTTAAATATTAAAAAAGACGTTTACACGGCAATTTTGGTAAGAATCACTCGGTAGCAAGATGCGTCCACCCTTACGACACAGTATTTCGTCGAAAACTCAATCTCTGACCATTTGGCGGTTACGCCCGTCTTCAAATAAACCGTTCGGTTAAGTTGGTTAAAGTTTGGTATCGGTTAAAGTATGGTATCTGTTTGCAGATTTTTTATCTCCACGAGACATACACACACAAAAAAAGTTTGATCGAGAAATGCAGAGAATTTTCTAGAATGTGTCAACACTGGTGAGGCCGCTAGACCTGCTTCAACTTGAACTTGATCCACTGATTTCATTAAAAGAATCCGCGAATCCGAATCCTAGCATCCCGGGTTCGACCCGATCCGATCCGTCCGGTGACCTTTGCGACGCAAGCGCGAGAACCTTGGGTCCACGATTTCAGATTCAAACGACTCGAGTGTAGCGCCATCGCCGGGAAAACTTACAACCGCTCGGGATTCCGACAATAAACAAACACGAGTCCCAGGTAAAAATGCAAAGTTGGGCATGCTGAATCCGAAAGTATCTCGAAAAATCTGCATTGCCGAGTTGGGCGGGAAACCCCCGTTTCAGCATGATTCGGAGTCGTATTTCGTGCGATAAGCGGCAACGCGGCGACTACTTAAAATCCGCAACCTCACTTATTTGCAACACACCCACGTGGGGAAAAGCTAGTAGATTGGTCAGTTTCTTCTTTCGCTTCGCTGGAGGATCTCGGGTGGTGGAGAAGTGATTAAGTGGAAAATCGGCGATAAAATTTGTTTATTACCAAACCTACCACCAGTCTTTTGAAGCAAGTGTTGACGATCGGAAACAGTTCGAACATTTTTTGTGCTCGTTACTTATTTCTGGGGAACATTGTGCTCGGTTTGCGTAAGGGTGAATCGACTGCCTTTCATTTCAATTTTTCTTCTTTTTTACAAAAGTTTGCTCTCATAAGTTTTACTTGAAGTTCATAAAAATTTATTTCATACTCACAAATCTGAAATAGTTAAAAACTTCAACAGAAAAAAGAAGGACAAGGAATTTCAAAGGATTTTCAAATTTCTAGGAATTCAAGGACAAGGACATTTCTATCTCCAGTGTTTCACCTTACTTTTCTTAAATAAGTAAATGGACATAGTGTATTTTAAAGTTGTACTCTTTATCACGACTGCTATTCGTGTACCCAGCTCATAATCACACGCTGAAAACTGTTTGCTACCTACGCTTCTGAAATTAAGTGACACATTTCTTTCACATTACATTACTTTTCTGTGCGTTTTTTCTCGGCAAAAAAGTAAAACGGAGTATCAGCAGTTGTTTTAAAATGGCTCAATAGACTTACATAACACTCACTGTGTCCTCACGCTGGAAGATGAAAACTTATTGGTTTTGAAATTATTTTAGCTTTAACCGCGCGCTTTTGTGATTAAGATGAAACTAGGGCTATTCGTTCGCATTATGTTGTTTGTGGTTCTATTCCTGATGACAATCTCCAAGCATGGAAGCCTCCAGGCGGAAAAGCTCAAATGGGACGCTAAAGCTTTCCTGAACACCGTAAGTTTCAAATGACTGGAATTTTCAGGGAATTTCCTGCATGCATGAGGAACACTCATTCTCAAATAAATTTTAACTGATTTTTCGTAAAATACAAACATGTACAAAGTCTCATATCAATTATAATGAAAAAAAAGAACTGCAAAGATATGTTTTCTCGACTTAACATATTGGTGTGAGTTTCCAACAACGAACACGACGCATGCATCGCTGTGGAGGTCAGAAAAGTGGAAACGCCTTCAATTATTTGTGTATGCAACGCAGACATCCTCGGAGCACGAATATTTGTATCAAGGTGTCATTATACGTCAGTCGGCCTCTTATGGTGTAGTGATTTTAGCGCTGGCTCTAGGATCGGGAGGTCCGGGATTCGATTCCCGGCCAGGCGACCCGAGTTTGATGGTCTCAAACAATGGTTGCCTAGGACTGGTTGTAGGGACGGAGGGGGGACGGGACTAAAAGTGCAAGGATTAGCCCTTGTGGTCTATTTAAAGTAGTAAAAAAAAAAAAAAATACCCATGTCGTTCAAGGTTGAGTATCCCAGTTCCCAAGTAGATTTTCCGGAGCGATCTTCTGACGGATGAAGCCAGACTTTCAAGTTGACGGATGGGTGTTAGATATACGAGTGATATCAATGAAGATGAGTGGAGTGGATCAGAATTGTTTGAGCAGAGCCCCCCTCTGCTTTTGCGGGAACTCCATTCCACGATGTATCAATCAGTGGAAATACCCACAAAGCGGCAACAATGTGTTTTGTTCATTTGAATGCACGCGAATCAATCGATAATTATCGAAACAGACCATTCCATGTGGAATAGATTTCTCAAAATGGACTTAAAGGGAAGAAGAATAGTGTTATCAAATCACAAAAGCTGTCATTTGTTTGAAAGTTCAGCTTGCAGAAGTTTTGCATTTGGCTGCGTTGTGGATGTTGGCCGCCTTTAGATGTATACTTCACGGAAAAGCGATGCATTCGTTTTGTTATCATTGAAGGAAGTTATGTCTTTCCTATTGTCTGCATCGAATTTGATAAAATTGCGAATTTTGACGATGACGTCACAGCAAAGGGCGTCTGTATCAACTGACTGAATGGTGATACGTCATTCAATACAAATCTTCGCAAGTAAACAGGCACAAAGAGTTCGTGATTTCCAAATTTCACGTTTGCTTCACTCGATTACATTGCTAACATCCGGTCTCCAAAATATATTGTCTTCGTTTGTAACTAACGAATATCAGAGGAACAGTTAGACGTACTTCTAGCAAACAGATTTATGTGCAGGTGAGAAATATGGGGTGCGCTCTTGAGTCCTCTGGCCCTAAGAGTGAATGAGAATAATAAAGCGCCAGTGACGTCAACGGAGATGGATGTCGTCGTCGGGGCTCCTCGTAGACGTCGTAGTGGTCATTAACTAACGAGCCCTGACCACAACGCTCTCGTGCCATGCCCGCTGCTCATATATCCCGCATTTAGCAGGCACATAGGCCTGTTTGCTGAATTTAAAATCCCGCTTTTCCAATTCTTCAAAAAGGAAATCACGCCCACTGACCACATTGTTTCTTATGCAGCTTTCTAGAGCATACCCCATATTTTTCACCTGCACACAGTTCTGTTTGATAAAAATACGTCCAGCTTAGCCACTAAATTGGTATATCACGTAGACCGGAGGGGTAAACACTAAATAGTTTGTCGCTGTGTTGGCGAAAATAAGAAAAAACTCTTTGTGGTAAGCCCTGTCCTCTGTATAATATCTCCATATCTTGCAGGGCTAATGTGAAAATGGAGTTACGCCTTTTCCTCATTTGTAGTATAGACCTAAGCGTGAGCTCCTTTTTTGATTTTGTGCAGGAGGAGCTTATCAAGTACTGGGGCTACGAAGGCGAGACGCACTACGTGACGACTGAAGATGGCTATATTTTAAGCGTTCATCGTATTGCCAACAAAACATCCAAGTACCCACCGGTGTTCTTGCAACATGGACTCTTGACAGCTTCCGATTTATGGGTCATACGGGGACCCAAGGAGGACCTGGGTAAGCGCCTATTTCATCATGAGTCTTTTCGAGTTTGGATATCAAAGTTCCGTGGGTTGAATTAAAAACTCTAACCTCTATTTGATAGTTTTAAATTTCTGTGTGTCCTTTATTAGTTCAGGGGAAAACTGATTATAATAGCCAAGCTAAGATTTCAGGTAAAAATTGGGGGGGGGGGCGGGGGGGGGGGGCGATAGAGATATCTGTGAAAGGGCTTTGATGTGGTATTTCAACAAATTTTATGCAAGAATAACACGACTCTGAAAGCAATTTAGAGCTTCAGAGCGAGAAAATGTGACAGTACAAGGAACACAGTTAAATATTTGAGACAATACTGCAGAGACAAGTCTACACATCAGCATCGATTAAAAATAATTTACGTGCATGAAAAAATATTTCTTTCGAAACAAAGAAATTTTTCTTTTTGTAAAAAAAACATCTACAAAGTAATGTTTAAATATTTTTTAAAAAAAATTAAAACCACTCGTATCGTTTTAAATATGTGCTCTATTGCAATCAGTTTCTGTTTATGATCGGACTTGTCTTTTTCCCTTAATTTAAAAAAAGCAGGAATTTTGTCGATTTATTCCCCTGAAATACTCCCTTTTCACTACCTTTTTCATCATATATCTTGAAAGCACTATTTTTAATTCAAAGAGGCCTTTAAATTAAATGTTTATACGAAGAAAAAAAAATTCTTTCCAAGTTTTATATTCCTCATTTTATCACGTTCGGACGGTGTATTTTCGAAAAGGATTCTACGCGGACTTGAAATAAAAAAGAAAAAGGATTCAAGTTCCATTCCGATCTGAGAGATTTTCCTTATTCTATCTCTGCCCAATGACGTGTACATATCCGTATTTAGATCCAAAATATGGCGCATACAAAAACTCTTTAAAAAGGTGTGTGGTCATTTGCATTTTGAACACCTCCCATAACGGTCTAGATTCGGGAAAAATGTGGTGTCTGTAGCCGACGCCGCGCCAGTGAGACGATGAGAAGCTTCAAAAATTGCAAATTACATCACCGACAGTAACGAATTATAACGTGGTTTCCTGTTACCACTGAAGTTATGAAAATTCGACCACGATCCCTTATGGCTTCAAGCTACAAATACGGGTTTTGGTGGTTGATGGACATAAATGTTTGGAGTGAGATCTGCCCTCATATAAACCTCTATTTTTTTCACATGCATTTAAACTTGTAAAAAGGAGGAAAATATGCCAACTAAACATGTCAGAATTTCATAAAAGGTTACGACTCGCTTAACTTGTATCTTGTTAATAAATACTGTCCATTTTTTTAATTCTTTGAATGTTTTTATTTCATAAATTTATGACAGGCACAGAAAATTGAGATTACGCTTTACCCTCAGACTTTTCCTCTTATTTACCCCATACCTGAGGTTTTCTCAGTTTTACAACCCGTATCAACCAAAACCGAGGCTCGAAAGGCCAGTAAAAGGTTGGCGAGAGGGAGTGGAGGGGGAGATCAGACGGTGTAATCTGCCCAATGATTTGTGGGAGGATCGATTCCGATGGCGATTTGGAGTCGCAGAGCGCTCTAGTGCGCTGAGGTAGCGGCTTGATATGTATGTATGTATCAACCAAAATAATCTCCCCAACAAGAAGGAAATTCCTCCAGTTCAATCGATCAAACTTCAATTCATTTGGCCCACCAAAGTCTCAGATTTATAGTCAATCGAGTTTATAGGTTCAGTCTTAATAAGCCATGTTTGGCTCAGATAACCAAAATTATCGGGAGAGAATAAGAATCTCATTTTAGAGTCATCTTTGTTGCAATATACTTTGATTCTGAACCATAATTCTAGGGGTGAAAAGATAAATTGTTTAAACCAAAAACTCTTTGGGGTGATATGAAGCGAAGTCTAGCCGAACGAAAGTTTTTTCCTGTAAAAAAGTAAATTGCGACGACTTGTACCTGTAAATTCTACAGAAGTAAAATCCGATGAATAGGTTGAATTATTAATTGAATACAAAATGTAATGTAAAACGACTGATGATGTAGAAGTAGCCCAGGCAGTTTTACTCAAAGTTTAACGTCATGTTCTTCTTTCTCTGTGCAGCATTTATGTTAGCTGACCTTGGATATGACGTATGGATGAGCAATGCCAGAGGGACCACGTACTCTAAAAATCACACCACTTTGTCTCCGAAACAACCCAAATTTTGGGAGCACAGGTGAGAAATCCCTAAATATTTCAGTCATTAATTGCATCTTTTGCACCTAAAGAATCTCAGATGACCGATGTAAGACAATCACGGGTCAATATCCCGTGGTATTTTGGAAATTTGACAACAAGACTTTGACTTATTTCCTGACTGTGGTTGCCATAATTTGCTCTCCTTTAACTTGCTTCTTTTTCGTGTCTACACCACTCAAATCCGGGCGGGCACACATTAGCATTTTTTGACAGACCTGTTCTATACCTGTTAAAGTTTATAACATTTAGCTGAATCTAATTTGATAAATTATTAACTCCAGTCTAGAGGTGCTAACGAAGTGTATACATTTTCATAAAGTTTTTACTTCATACTTGTACATTATTTCCAATTCCCTCACGTTTTCTTAAATTTAAGTGCATTTCCCTCCATTTTGGCTAGGTTTGGTATTATCTTTTTTCATTTATAACACGATTCTTCTCCACGAAAATAGAGCCCTTAGAGTCAAAATTCTCTACATAAGGCGTTTCATTTCCTGCATGCTAAGATAGGTGTTTTTTGTACATCGTTCAGGCATCAGAAACGCTTAAAAATGTCGTACAAAACGTGAAATAGAGAACGTGAACTTCGCAGTTTAATACCTACACGTGGTTTGAAGAAAAAGTTTTTTCAAAGTTTTTATTCGGCATACAATCATAGGATTCAAAATCATAGAATTCATTGGAAAGGATTCAATCATAGGATTTCAATTGTCTAATTATGATGCAATATGAGGTCATTTCCTGGAATAAATATGAATAAAACGGCTGACAGCCTACTCCCCAGAATACTAGAGCATGCGTACCACGGGTAGCTCAAACTTTTTAACGTAACGTCTTAATTTCAGAAGCACCTTAATTCTTCTCAACTTCAACTTACCCAAGAAAATTCGCTGTCTTGCAATTTGTCTTCGAAATCCAAGTTCTTTCATTCTGTGGCTGTGTATTTATTTATTTCTCAAAGCATGTTTGCTCTTGTTTTGAAATTATTTGCTGAAATTATGCATGATAACAATTTTCCGTGATTTATAATATGGTTGCAGCTACCATGAGATGGGGAAGTACGACCTGCCGGCGGTGATCGACCACGTTTTGAACGAGACGGGAAGGCCGCAGCTTTTCTACATTGGTCACTCCATGGGCACCCTCATGTTCTACGTGATGGCCGCCTCCAGACCAGAGTACAACTCTAAGATTATCGTCAGCTTCAGCCTGGCCCCGATATGCTTCATGTCTCACCTCGTGGCCAAACCCTTCGCTAAAATGATCGCCGACAGCACTCCAGCGTGGGACGTAAGTTCATAAGTCATAAACTCACTTTCAGTCAATGACAAAATACACTCATGAGAAAAAGTATTAATGCGCGTCACTAGAATTATACAGGGTTATTCAAAAGTCACGCTCCACTGGCCATGAGGGGGTGGTCATTTGAAATTTTTGAGTTGCCCCCCACCCTCCTCCCCCCGAGGGGATCAAAAACTGGAAAGTACCTAAAAAAGTTTCCCCTCGATATGAAGAAACACGTCTTAAACCGCAAATCGATACCATAATTAGAACTAAAGTTATGGCCAGTGGTGCATGACTTTTGAATAACCCTGTACCTCTGTTTCGAAGCAAGATTTTCCTGGTTGACTCATCTAAAATTGGATTGATTTTTTGGATATAAGCGCAAGTCGATCTCGCCGTCTTTTAATTTCTTGGAGATCTCGATTCTTTTAAATACACGGACAATTAAAAGGGAACAACTAAAGGGAATATATGGGAGATAATGAACACCTCTCGTCCGACAACAGCCTAAGTTCAGTTTTTCTATAAATATCTATGTAATTCATCTATGACACAGCAAACCAGGTACCGTCGGAATTTTGAAATCTTCTTATTGGCTTATTATACACTTTGGCTAAAACTCATATTCGATAATTCAACTTAGTTCATTCACACAAAATTCAGATTTTAATCAGATCTAATTCGATTTTAATTTGTGTAAGTAACCGGAATTCAGATTTTATTTCGAAAACAGATATTTCTAGTCGATTGAGTTACTATCATGACTATCTTGACTACAATTGAGAGGTTTGGAAGACAGGACGCATAAGTGAAGTTTTTGTCATTTTAAGAGTTACCCGTTTAAAATTTCAAAATTAGAGCCTCCTGGCGGAGAGAAAGTTCAAATTCACTCTTTCATGCTTAAAAATTAGATTTTTGTGGTAAATTTTCCACTGAAAATACTTTAAGACTAATTTTAGTTGAAACCATTAAAATCTCAGTAAAATACAGAAAAAAGTGAGCAATAAAATAGAGAAAAAAATGTGAAAAATAAGTTATGAGAAAAACGATTTCTCCCCCAACTTTTTGAAAACTGACTTTCGGGTTGGTAGATACCTCCTTGCGGATTTTCTTCCCAATTCCAAATGGACGTAAAACGGTCAGTTTAGATGCCCATCCCCTTCATAAAATACTCTGATAATGACTGTGAATAATCAATTACCAAAACATCCAGCTAACGTATTCAGTGATAAATTGAATTCTAGGCATTCGCAATGAATCTTCGCACGGGCAATAAATTTTCATAATCCGCGATGTCATTTTGCAAATCTTGTGATAGAAAGCAAAAATCTTCCCGAAATTTAGTAATAATGATAGATGACACGACAGTCTCATCCTGCATCGCCGAATCAGCGCCGGGTCATTGAATTCACTGGGTGTGTTTTGAGCATTATTCCGCCAAGCACCCTATTTTTTTCTTATTTCAATAATCCACATCCAAGCTCCTATATAGAGCATAATACCATCCTCATTATTAAACATGCAGCAATATTATCGTGCCTCAAAGGCAGAATATTGAAAATTCCAAAGAATCTTGAAGGTATTTATTTCTCATGATAATTGAGTCCTTATTTGAGACAGGATATTGAAAATAATATCCTCCAGCCGGGCCTCGGATATTTTGCAGGCGCGAGGACCAGTTTTTCAGATCTAATTGGCTATTTTTTCGAAAAAAATTATCGGGTGAAATTTATTTTTGAGCTACTAGCGAATAGAAACTCAAAGCAGGTTTGATATTCTGCAGGCTTTTTCTTCGGATGGCGTGATTTGGCCAATGTGTGAATAATTCATATTCAGCTTTTTCTCCAGCGCATTGCTGCCAAAACAATGTAACTCTCATTGAAAAGCTATTCAAATGGGCGGTTCTTGTTACATACACAACGGAGTCAGTTCTGCAGGTCGACGACGTTGATCGATAAATAGCATTGCTAAGATATGGAATTATCGATCAATACCGTTCGATAATACTTCAACAATCCGCGCTGGCCTACTATGCGCGAGAACATTCCTTTATCCGATTTCCCGACGCATAATTTACTGCGAATAACACGCGTAGCCCCTATGCCTCACCGGCGATAAGATGATTTTGTTCGGAAGAAAGTAATCAAAATGCATTATTCAGAATTTTGTTTTTCATAAAAAGCGATAATATTTTGGTTGCTGAAAAATTGCGGTTGCCTGATTTTTTGCACTCAATAAAATGAATACTTCAGGGCGAAAACAACTTAACTCCGAGAAAAGAAAACGAACTAAACTGATCGTAGTTTTTAATTTTTTGAAAATATTTTTGCAGCTTGGTTTAATCTACCTTAGATGGACAAGGATGAAAAAGACTAAAACGCATGAAATAACTTGAATCAGGGCTAAATATTAAAAGCTTGATGATTTAAAGACTTGGACGTTTCCTATCAACCATATCATCAACTGAAAGCAAAGGCTATAAACCAGCAATATGACATACCTATACTCCTTCATTTTCCTTTTTTGCCTTTGAAATACGAGATCGGAAAATCTATAGAGATCCTTCTTAACTTGAACCAAATACACTGATGTTAATCTCATGGGAGATCGTACAATTATCTTAATATTTTTTTTAATAAGTGGAACATAATATAGAAAAATTACCTTTGACACCAAAAACAATTTTCATGCTGCAAAACGAAATTTCTTCAATTGTCGGAGTTGCGTCAATTTGAAACTGGACAATTCATCCCATTTTGACTGAGTAGCACTAAAGTTGACCTGGCTGCACATGAGCGTAATGTTTCACCAATACCGCCATCTGAACTCCAAGTTTAAACACCATCAAAAACTCATAGAAATAGGTTCTCTCTTAAAACCTTTGATAAAAATGGGCTTATTTTCCGTTAATGCTTTCCTAACACCCATGCGTGCATTGAGAGAGGCCATGTTGTTGTTCAGATCAAATTTGATACATATTTGATATATATACCTATGTCTTCAGAAAACCCTTACAATTGCAATCAAGTCCGAATCAGGTCACAGACTGATTAAGACTCATATGTCAAAGGTAGATATAGAATGTTCCATGGAAACAGATTTGGTTTCATAAACTTCAATACGCCAACGTGTTATAATTTTTTAGCTTCACGTCCATGCTGTGTTGTCAATACGTACAATTTTAGAAATAGTTACACTGTAATCTTCGAAATGTAACATCAAATCTGGAGCGCATAGCTGTCAAGTAGTGATTTAAATATGAAAATTAAAATTTTCAGTTTGCTCTAGTTTTTTTTTCACAAGAAAAGATAAACTAAAAGTAAATTAATTAGACGATCTTGTGACTTTTTTGCAGTCGTTAATTGGTAACACGGGCTTCCTGGAGGTTTTTCCGAGAAACCGGAAAATGAGTGAAGCTTTTTACAAATTGATGAAGGATCCGGAGAGGCACGATATCCTTTGGCTGGCTCTGTTCAACCTGGTCGGCACGGACTGGACGCTCCTTGATCAGGTTTGTTAATTTATTAACTGCTTTTCATACTCACAGATCCGTGGAGAACACGACGGTGCTGAACGTCCTCGATGATGCCCTAAGTGACGAGAAACTCCTCAGTCAAACGCGACATGGATGATAACTCTTGAAATCTGGAAACAACTATTCGTGCTCTGAGGATGTCCGTGTTGCATACACAAAAATGGAAGGCGCTCTGCCTTTCCCCGCCGGAACAGAAATGCGCATTATGCGCCACTGCGCCGGAGTTTTATGTTGTACTTTCAGATTTTCGAAAATTTTGATATTACTAATTTTCGCAGCTTTAAAGAGATGGTCCTCAAATAATGTTCATGTAACAAATATTTGATACGGAGAAGTCAACACCTTTAATTAGATTTTCCTTCGTTATGCCGGAATATTATTTTTTCACTTTGTGTTCGTTGAAACCCTCGTGAAATAAAGCGGCCGATTCAAGGAAAGTTGACAAAGTCAATCTGTGTTCGTCAGAGTAGTGTTTAAAGTGACACGTGACCACTTTTGACAAGCTTCTTTCATTATACTATGGATTCATAAGCAGCTTCTTTTTTGAGTATGCAACATTTGCAGAAAATTGCCTAATAAGGTTGTTTTTGTTGTATCAAAACGCATCGCATTGTTGGAATTTTCACGAAATCTCCACACGAATGGTGTAAGTCCGTTTAAAGATAAGTTTTCCGAAATAACTTATTTTTCGATTTTCGAACATGTCACATTCGGTTTGAACATGAACTTATTAATAAAATGTACAGGAAATAAAGGATTTACAAATTTTATTTTTTGTTTCTTGTAAATTTCAGGCCGAGATGCCAACAGTCCTCAGTCACCTCCCAAGCGGTACATCTTTTCAAACCATACAAGCTCTTTCACAGCAACTATACCACCCAGGTAACACCAAATTCATGCTCAATTTCGAAAGTTGTTATGAACGGAGATTATAAATCTAGGTAGAATACTATAAGGTCATCAAAAATGTCGTTATTATTTGAGAAGGATCAACATTATTCCCTCGCCAAAATCTATACCGCAGATAAAATAAATGTAATTATTTTGGTCACAAGATTCCTGAATATTACAAAACTTATCATGCATAATATATGGTTCGTTGTAAAATCAAATTAAAAGAAACGAAAATTAAGAAAGCAGTCTGTGATTTTTAGTCGATCAAAGTACCATCATCTTTTCAGAGTTCAAAACTTAGAATAAGATACCGTTCTTCCCAATGTTTTAATTTTTATCTTGGCAAATCCCTCAAATGGAAATGTTTATTTAGGAGTATTTTCATCGTCTGATCTGTGAAACATTTTACCGTAAAATCAACCCAAATATGTAGTTTATGTTCCTCCTTCAATTTTTCCTGCTCATTTATTTTATTATTTTTTATTTATTTATTTTTTTAACGATCATATTCGAATGTTTTATCATCGGCTTCGGAAAGTGACCTTAGGCCGCAAAGGCTAAATTTTCAGTGGAGTTAATGTTGTCGAGTAGTGTCAAAACATCGGATATTGAGATTTTGACAGCAACGATTTCTAGTGTCGTTAATAAGAGTAAGATACGAGCGGTTTAGTTTATTTTTTGGACTAATATAGAGGGCGTGAAGCTAAGGGTATAATTCTCGCACCATGGCATTCTCGTGCCATGGAAATGACTCGAAATTATTTTTTTCTCTCGAAACTGTGTTGTTTGAGACGCATCGGTTTGATTTTGAAATTTCAGGAGTATTCTGCACGTAAAGTCTCTTTAAACGCCTCTTCATGTTATGTTATCACCCACTCAATTTTGAGTATTTGTGGACTAACGTCCTGTCTCCTGTGGACGGTGACTTTACTAAATCTCATTGAATAATCAGATTGAACATAACCGATGTGTTTGATTTTCACCAGACGAATTCCGGGCCTACGACTACGGACCGAAGGAAAACTTGATTAAATACGGTACCGAGGAAGTGCCACACTACAACCTCAGTGCCATAACCTGCAAAATGTCACTTCACTACGCATACAATGATTTCCTTTCACATCCTAAGGTAAGTTTCACAGGCTCTCGTGGGTAGATTCCTAAGGCGAGGTCGGTATTTCTCAGCGGCAAAAACTATCTGAAAATGCTCCCATTAGGGTTCCAGGACATTTCGTCAAGGATTTTTTGTCCGCGCACCTGTTTTGTCCAGTAGTTTAAGCAACTTTGACTTGGTCCAAGCGTTATATTTTAGTCCGAATGTAAAATCATATTGATACCATCGAAATTAGAAAATTGAGAGAGAAGGAGGTGTTGTTATGGTGATTGGTGACTCATTTTTTAAATGAAATATTACTTTCTCCTTTTGATTCATCTTTTCAAATTGTCATTTGTGAATATTTGGTTTTATTTCAATCCTTAAAATTTTCGATATGAAGTAAACCTTATATACACCTTTTTTTTTAAAGAAAATATTACTTTATTTTTAAAAACATTTAAATTTTTAAAACGTGGCAAGTCCTTTCTAAGAGATGGAATCGATGTTAATATCATTAAGCCGTAGTGGTGTTAAAAGAAGCTGTACAAAAATGAATAAAAGAGGGGACAAAACCAAGAAGCTCGCAATCATTGGTATTTTTACACCCAGTGGCGTGGCGTGAATTACGATATATCGATCGTTATGCCATTTAAACCTATGAAAAAAGATCGATTATCAGGGTGTTCGCAGCGAACACCTCAGTAATCGATTCTTTACCATAACTTCAAATGGCGAGTTATCGATAAGCGATTATTCACGCCACGCCACTGTTTACACCGTCCTTTAAGAGTCAAATGCGTCCAATTTTAAGCGTTTGGTTACGAGTGCAACACGCTGCAGCACAGTAAAAGTACAAAATATAAAAGAAAAAATTAAAGTGCTTTGTAAGTTATTTGACACGGAACCTCCTGAATATTTACAAAGCACATATTTCACACATATTTTCCTTTACATATTTTTTTTTCCATCGATTTAAATGAGAATAATCTACGCAGAGTGTGCAAACATTTCAAAATCACGAGTTGAAAAATGCTGCCTCCGCGAGTTTAAATATTAGAGCCGAACACAGAGCGAAGCTGCCTACAAACCTAATTGGATACTTCACGCATTGCGCAATGCTTGAAGTATCCACTTAGGTTTGTAGGCGCCAATGCACGATGCGCGTTGACCGCCCTCCCGCCGCGCCGAGCCGCAGCGTGCCACGGCGCCTTAAGCAACTATTTCACAACAGAGGTGTTGCACAGTATCATACGAAATTGAAGGCGCTCAAACAAGTTAAGGATGACAGGCATCCTTTAAGAGTATGGAGTTTCCCTTGCAAAATACATCAAGATACTCCGGCACTAAAAGAGAGTGGCAGTCCAAAAACTCAGTAAGTATTTACTGACGTTTAGTATAATTTTTGAATGTCATTAGAGAAAAAAGTAACTCAATCTAAGCAGAAACATTCTTGAGTATGCAGTCAAGAAGATTTTATTTTAAATCAAGAAGAAAGTAGCTGAATGAAAGCGGGTTTCTGTTTGATGAAAGTGACTTTTCTTTTTACGTAAGCATCTATTCTTCTTTAAACAAGCATTATTTTCTTTATTGACTCATGAGGAAATTCTCTAGGCGGTAGATTCGAGCTTATTTCTGCTTGAATCAAGTCACTTTTTCCCTTAATGAAGTTCAAATTCATTCTATGAACGGCCCATTTTACAAGTTCAAAATCTGTATTTATTTTTTTAATGGAATGTGAAAATTCATTTTAACAGGACGTAAAAAGGCTAGCGTCCATGCTTCCTGATGTCCGGATGGTGCCGGTAAAGTACAAACAGTTCAACCACGTCGACTTTGTCTGGGGCAAAAACTGTCGGAAAATGTTCGGGGAGGACATAATACAGACTATACAGTATTATTCGACCCCAGAATCCAAAAAGAGGCCATCTCGAGCGCCCAAGAGACCATCAAGAACGCCTAAGAGACCATCGAGCACGCTTAAGAGGCCGCCTCGCGTGCAGAAGACAAAAGCACCGAGCTGATTGGACGAGTTTGTTTATTTTTTATTTATTCTTAAGATATGTTTTAAATTAAGATTCTTGGTTCCTTATTGTAAATATGTATTTAGATCATCAGATCACTAAAATGTACAGTAAAGAATAAAACAGTCAAGCTGCAGACTCAGAAAAAGCTGTCCAGCTGTTCTGCCATTGAACATTTTAACCATGAAATTTAGCATTAATTGCTGTTTTAATTGGAAAACCTGTTTACGGAATTCCGCGCACAGGCTTTTCAATTAAGTTTTCGTGACTAAGGTGACTTCCTTTGAACTCGTATAATTAGAAATGAATGTTTACATGGTAGGAGCTAGAAAGTGAGAGATGGAGGCTGGGATTCTCCTCCACGTTAAATGTTGAAAACAAAAGAAATGAGGTTCTTTGCGTAAGGGGCAGGCAGAGCCCTCTTCCCTCCATGCCAGCTTTTGAGAAACATTTCTTGTTAGGTTCTGTAAAATGCAGAAACAGAATAGGAGGCGGATGTCTGTGGACCGTTTTCTAACCGTACGTACCAAGTGAGGTTATTGTATATTATGCAAGGTGTTCTTATCGCTGACATTGCCTAAGATTGATAAATACCTTAATTTTACCCTAAATTTACGCCTCTGAAAGATAAAAATACAAAAAAAATGTGCGAAAACAAATCAAAGGCAAACTTTTTCCGAAAGGGGCTGGCCGGTTAGGTGATAGCGTGGTTCAGAGAACTATGAATGTAATTTTTCTAAAGAATATTTTCCCGAGGAAAAGTGGCTTTGCTGCAAAATATCGCAATTAATCTTCAAGAGGGATGAGGGGGTGGGGTGGGGATTTTCTTACCCCTTCTTTTGCTGTGGGCCAGCCAATATTTCACGTGGAACGGTATAATTTTCTTCCAGCAAGAAATGTATGCAAAAGAAAGTCAAGTATCAGACGATGCTCCAAGTTTCTCAGAATCAGCGTATACTGCACGAAATATTTTCCCTCGTGGGCCTGTAGGGTAGGGCTCTAGCGAAGTTTGCTCTATCCTGCTCGTAAAATTCTTCTTTATGCAAATCAAAACTAAGTTGGAATTCCTGCAGGCGATACGACGTACCTATACGATCCAAAGTTTTGAAAATCCAAGCATTACGGCAAGCAAATATTTACGATATGTAATACTTTAGGACCTTGTTTTGTTAGGCTAAACGTTTTCCTGCCTTCGGCTGATAAGTGGCTCGTAAGAAATGTATAACTGTACAGGGTGATTCACGATTCAATAAGAATGTTTCAGGAGTCGATTATTTTTGCCAATATTAAACTTTTTTTTTTTACAATTAACCATTTTTCTTGAAACTTAATAATTTTAGAATGGACTGCTAGACAGAGGGAGAATTCAGTAACTATAGGGCATGTTGCCTGGTAATAATTTTAAGCAGAATACTTAGAAAATGTCCAAACCTTCTTCCGGGTTTCCTAGATAAAAAATGGGCGGACCCTTGGACATTTTGCGATGCATTAAGACGATTAATTTGATCGATCAAGAGGAAGCTGTAGTTTTGAGGGTGATCGAAAGTTAGAAAAATACTGCATAGCAAACAAATCATTTCGATCCGAGGAAGTAACTTCCCTTGCATTTAAATTTGAATCACATCGCAAAGCCATAATCTCTCCAATCTGAGGGAAATGAGAGCACGAATACTCTTGAAAGTGAATCCTTTCCATGAAACTGTGGAGGTTGAAGTCGCGATTCAAAATATGCGCAAGGGACCTACGTGTAGCACTAGAGGTCTCGATAAAAAAATGTCCAATTCACGCGTATCTCATGCCATAAATTCGAGAAACGGACTTATCTCGAGAATGAAATAAAGGCCGACGCTCAATGCATACGATTGCGTGATAAAAAGATTTTTGTTGTCGTTTCCCGGACGAATACTTCAGGCCAGCATTTCAGGGATTTTATGCTATGACGGTTTCAGCCTCATGCAGTACTCCTAAGATTTTGTAACTTTCTGAACATTACTTAGCAACAAATAAATACGGAATATTTAGAATTCGTAAAGGGCATTGGCATTTTCTACTTGTGAAAATTATTCGCTTTATTTTTTAGGCAGTTATAGTGATTACTTTTCCATCATAGAAATTACGGAGGTCAAAAGAGGACAGGTTCACTTGCAAAAACTGTAACCAAACACCATTTAGAAATAATAACCAAAATTAAAGTAAAACTGCATACAATATTTCAAGATTTTTTTACTTTTAAATCTGTTCAAATAATGGACTCAGATCGTAGAACTCTTAACATATCGACGGTGCAAGTCGGCAATCACATAACTCGTTTGTGGTGTCTGAAAATCTCCGTAACTATGTTATATTTTTAAAGGAGAACAAATGGACATGATTCCTTGCAGTTTTTGCAGAATTTTCCTCGCACATAGAAGAAAAATCACGGCAGTTTTAAGGAATTAACGTTGAGTAGTTTTCCGTTTAAAGAATAAAGTATGACAGGAAGTCTGCGACGTCGCAAATCGAGTTATGTGATTGCCGGCTTTCACCGTCGACATATAGAACGGAAGGTCATTGCAAACAGGAAGAAGGATAAGATAAAACATTAAAGGGGATAAACAAGAAGAAGGAGCAGGTAGAAGGTAAAGAAGCTGGTGGGAGGAAGATCTCGGGAGAGGAGGATGAATAAGGGAAGTAGAGAAAAGAACATTTGATGCAGTGCTTTCTCTATCCAGATAGGTGCTTTCATGGGTGAGCCAGAAAAAGAAGTGCCCTATTATCAAATGCAGTCCAATTATAGAAAACATCGGTCTGAAAGACCACATTGAATTCGATTAGGGTTTCGTGCTTTTAAGAATAGCTCTACCCTAATACCGGCCATTTACATCAATAGAGGCATGGTCAGGATGAGCTCGTGACTTACGAACGCGGTAGTCGAACTTTGCATAATTTACAACCGCTGTGGTTCTGTACCGCATAAGCGCTCAAAAGTTCAACATGGGAAAATCACGAATATGCTCACATGAAGAGTGAATCAGGTTACGTTAGTGGGAACAATAAGGCTCAGTTTCATACGATCTCGATATCCACCAGCAAAGATTCCTGGTTCCGGTACGCCAACGTGTGCCGGAGCAGCTTTGAGCAAATCAGGAATGCAAATTCTCCCGAACCGCAAACCCGCGTCAGGCCGTAAAAGCCTCCCGACTTCCGCAGTGAAGCGCAGCGAGGTAAATGAATTATAGCTCAAACAACTGATAAATTCCACTGTTTGATGCAAATAATGCTGCGCGCGATTGACAGAATATCAACAAAGTTCCGTCGCCACCGAACTTCGCCGTGCGATATTGCATTTTTCACGCGGTGTTGCAAATGTTTCTTTGTGATAAACATGACGAGATACGATAAGACACTAAGGAAATTAATCCCGGAATCCCCGGACTTCAGATCGTCACCCTCCGGCCAAAACATCACAAGCGCCATGCGACGTTTAACCGCCGACAATTGGGCTACATTTTGCAATTTGGAACTGTAAATTCAGGCCTGGTTTAAAAACAACGTATGTGCAATTAGTTTCCCTATGCACGTAAGTGTTTTTCCAGAAGAGCCAGAAATTATAGTTCCGAATTGCGAAATGAAGTCCAATTTATTTTCTTACAGAGACATTTTTCAACGAAGCTGTTCGAAAATTGCGCGGAATTTTCATCGTGCTGCCGATAAAATTCAGTGAAATTTTCATGCAGATTAAACCAACATTTTCTCTGTAAAAACATTAAATGGCGGCGGAAATTTTTGAACGTCGCATGGCGCTTGTGATTCTTTGGCCGGAAGGTGACGAGATATGTTTAAACTGGAGTGCGTTATGACACATCGATTACACTAGAAATCCTCGCAAATTTTGACTCTCAAGCAAGAAAAACGCACGACAGTCCCAGCGTATGAAACCAAGCAAGCATATTCAATGAAAGCAATGCCTGAATTTAAAAGAATGATGAGAAAATTTTGACTTTTTAAAAAAACTAACTTATTTGATACAGGGTTCGATTCCTGTAATTATTGTATAGAGAATAGTGACGGGAAAGTCGGACTTAGAAACAGGCCGAGAGAGAAGTTTAAGGTGATTCGTCAAGCTCAAAAGAAGTGGTTGAACTGGCATGCGATATATCGCATCTTTTAGGTCAAAAATCTCGGCAGATTTTGAATTTTCAGTAAATAAAAGGACGATAGCCCCTGCGCATGAGCCTAAAGAATCATTCTAAACCCAAAAATCGGCAAAATTCAGAGAAATGAAAGCAGGATAGTGTTTGGAAAAAAACCTCGCATTCGATACCGAAATCGATAGCTGAATCGAATGCGATGTTTTTTTCCAAACACTATCCTGCTTTCATTTCTCTGAATTTTGCCGATTTTTGGGTTTAGAATGATTCCTCATGCTCATACGCAGGGGCTATCGTCCTTTTGTTTGCTGAAAATTCAAAATCTGCCGAGATTTTTTACCTAAAAGATGCGATATATCGCATGCCAGTTCGACCACGTCACTTGAGCTTGACGAATCACCTTAAGATGACAAGAGATTGACACGTTTTTGAGCTGAGGGAATCCGACGCAAGAAAATGTTTAGATACTGTCAAACATTTTCAGCGCCCTGAATGTGCAGCATACAAATGAAATATTCACAGCACACTACTTGAATACGGACGAGTAAGAAAGGAATTCGGCAATGCAGATGATCGACTGAAAGCGAATTGTGTACGGTGATTGTTCAATCATTTTGGCTACCCTCTTCCAACTTGTTTGCCTTACTTAGTTGAGTGTCCAATTCAGGGCTCAAAGCTTACAGAATTTGTAATACATCGATTCGTTGCTCCGAGTTCCATATTGCCATAGGGAGGATTCTCGAGAATTATCATGATCTCATCATCAGCGCTCTCTAGTGCAGAGATAGCCTCAGTTACTGTGGTAATTGAAGGCCTTTGCGATGTTATTCGAACAAACATTCTCACTGCACCGAGTGGCTTGTTGACATGCATTCTGCCAACTAGAGTGCCTTAAATTGGGCTGAGTATGCAACCCACATCAAATACCCGCAAATTTGGAGAGGAACCGCAGTTCTACGCATGATTCTGTTTTTCCGGAATTGATACTAATTTCGCCATTTCTTTATTGCCATCTAAAACATAAACTCTGTAACTCCATTCTAAATGTTTTCTTTTTTTCCCCAAGATGCTTAAAGTTTAATTACAAGAAAACCGACAAAAATTCATCATTTAAATTTGAAGATTGTTCGTGACGCACCGTTGAAAATTCAAATTGAGGAATTAGAGCATTCTGGTGATCAAGTTTTTGTGTAACAGAGCAGTATATGTGTGGATGATGATGACCAAATCTGGGATGGATTTGAGGTGTTTTCGCTTTGGATGGTAGTATTGATGTTTCTTAACATTTTGCGTCTATTCCATCTCTGTGTTTCTCAAATTCACAACTTTCCGCTCTCTAACTTTCAAACTCTCCCTAAGGTTTAGTTTTTCAGTTGTTTAACTAATGATACAAAAACCCCTGTAAGTTGTGTTACAGTTAATTTTTTTCAATTTTTTTAAAAGGCCCTTTTCGTCATTTCCCAGACGAAGGAGTGATCCCCACCCCTCGGTTGCACAATTGGACGTATTTCTGTCAAACGGAACTATGTGCATTAAGTCATGAGCCCTGAGACCCATAAGAATATATACGTAATAGGGCTCACGTCATAATGCACATAATTCCGTTTGACAGAAATACGTCCAATTAATCCAAATAATCACCTTTTTTAAAGGAATTTGACTGTGCACCTTCTGTTAAAAATTTCTCTGGTTTCAGTGTCTAATCAGAAAAAATGAAATTTTAAGTTAGATTCTCCTCTTTCCTGGTGAAAATACACTTGGCAAATGACAATTTCGCAACGTTGAAATTTAGTCACGATCTTTCGTATGAGAAGAGACCGTGCTGAGGAAAAACACCGTATGAGCATTTGAGAGTTGCCAAATTTCCTTCGATAAAATGTTTATTTTTGCGGAAGGTTATGAATATCTTCCCTTGAAACTTTCAGTAACTTCAAGTAAAATTGCGAACAAAATCATCTGAAAAATTGGAAAGAAAATATTCATAAGTTCACCAGGAGATTCGTGTTTTATCAAAGGAAATTTGGCAACGCCTGAAGGTTCATACGGCGTTCTTCCATAGCACGGCAGGGTACCTGACTAGATCCAAAAGGAAAGGAGGAATAAGAAGTGAGAGTTGAAGGAAAACTACTGACCGAGCATCTTGAGGACCCTCTGGGAGGCCTGCTGCTTGCAGCTTCCAGGTCTCCGGCGGAGGTCGTTAGCCTCGCTGGAGTTGGCCGAGGAGGCGGCGTTGCGGCGCATGGAGGCGGAGCGGCGGAGGCGGAGCCCGATCAAGGCGTAGAGGACGGAGATGAGCGTCATTGGGAAGAAGAAGAAGACGAAGGTGGAGAACTCGAAAGAGTGCTCGAAGAGGATCATCTTCACTTGGCAGGCGGTCATCTCCTCGCCCGGCTCCGCGGAGAGCGTTGAGTGCGTCGGGTCTTGCTCCACGATCCCGAACTGCAGCGCCTGAAACACATATACACGTTTAATAAACATGTCCATATTCATTGGCGGATTCAGCAATTTGACAACATCGGATTTCCTCCATTTAAACCTATGGATATGTATCGATTCTTAAAGGGACCAGGTGCTCCGACAAGAATCGATGATTTAGCGTAGGTGAATGGAGGAAATCCGGAGTTGCCAAATTGCTGGATCCGCCTCTGCAGATGATACTACTCTGTGTTACTTTTTGTGTCGGATCAAGACAAAGGGCTTGATTGCTCACATCAATTTTGTGTTAAATGTATCCAAACCGTAGGCGTAGGTTACTCTAAGACATCAGATCATGAAGAAAGTGCTCTGGGGCCGAATTTTGTCGGTTCGAGGTGCAACATCCATCGGTGAGTCTAAATCGCACCACCGGCCAATCAGAGGCCAGACTTGAGTTTAGTAGAGACTCGTCCTGAGTATATTTAAGTAAGTACGGTGGAAGGCGACCAACGAAATTTGGTCCCTGCCGAACTTCATGTTTCCTTGTTTTCCTTCAATTCTCAAGGGTCGAGCGCAGATGTGGTCCAGATTCAACACAAAAATCTGGTCGATTTGACACAGGGAAAACTAACACACAAAAAAGAAACCAATAGCTTGTGTTTGTGTTACTTCGTGTTTCACTACCCATCTCACGTATTATTAGACGCATTTAATTAAAACAAATTAGCTCTATAAATTGTAACCCCGCTCAACGCTATTTTTTTGCAATATCAATTAAAAAAAGCGTACTAATTTGACTGTATCTCTTGTGTGAAATAGATCTATTGTTGCAGCCTCATTCGTGAGTCACCAGAAAATAGGGAAGGAAAGGGGTTGAAAAGGATGGGGGTTTGAAGGGAATCAGACGAGACAATTCTGGGTCCTGCAGTGCAATAGACAATAACATCCTGCAAGCTGAAACGAAGCGTTAAGTGGATTTGCTTCGGTTTCCTTGTTTACCACGAATCATTCATGAGTTCCTAACTCTCGTCTCCTGCGACTGGCGGAAGTTGCGTAGGTCAAGACAATGAGAACCAGTGGCGAGCCGTGACAATAATCGACTATCGATATTTTCTCATTGAAAGCTATCGTAAAGAATGGTTACAGGTCAATTTACCTACAAACTTTTGACCTACGGCACATTTTACCTACAGCTTTTTACCTACGACATTTAAACCTACAACATTTTATCTACAAAGCATTTTGCCTACGAAGCAATTTACCTGCAGTTTTTCTTGCCTACAAAACATTCAACCTACAATTTATTTGTGTAGATGTGAGCTGTGTAAAAACGGACTCTATTTTGAGAGATTTTAGGGGAGGAAGTAACCACCAAGAGACTTACTTACTTCTCTTACAGGTCGAAGTTGTGCGCACACGCGCGGAGATAATCTAGTTGTCTCCCAGCAGTTTTCATCGCCTCATACCGTCCCGCTAGCCGGTGCAGTCTTTCGTTGACACGCCGATATTTTGACCTTTGCGGCATTTTGACAGTTCTTCCCATCTCGACCTCCATGATCATGTTCTCCACATCGTCATTCTCTTTCCTCAACTCTCTGAGAAAATGATAAAAAGAGGGGTGGTTCTTCCCCACTAACTAAAAGAAAACAAATTTTTTCATACAATCTGGCAGCTATGCTGGAGAGCAATTTCACTCGTAGGTGAAATTGATAAATTGTAGGAGAAATGTTTCGTCGACAAAAAAAAATGCAGGTAAATTGCTTTTAAGGCAAATTGCTTTGTAGATAAAATGTTGTAGGTTTAAATGTCGTAGGTAAAAAGCTGTAGGTAAAACGTCACGTAGGTCAAAGGTTTGTAGGTAAACTGACATGTAACCTAAAGAATCGATCAAAACAAAAACCATGACAATCGATTCTTTTCTATAGGTTTAAATGACAGATCAATCGATTCATCGCAAAACACGCCACGCCACTGACGAGAACGCAAAACACGCCACGCCACTGACGAGAACTCAACCTGGAAATCCGTTCATCGTCGATTTTGATGTTCCGACGAAGCCAATTTATCAATGGCTTCTAACCAGTAATCCTCTTTGATTCAACTGATACGTTAAGTTCTTAATTTAATATACATGAGCTGCAGGATTGAATTTAGTAGAGAGTCACATCAAGATTGAGACAAGAGGTTTGAAGTCTGGAGGGATGTCCGTTAACGACGTCAAATATCTCGATGGGGGAGGGGGAGATTTTGCGGGCTCTGACACGTATCTGAAGATGTGGGAGGGGGTAGTCGCGAAATCTGACGTCAGGCTAAAATCGGAGTGAAGTACTCATATTTAAGCAAATTCCGATCGAAAACGGCAATAAATTTTCGTGAGTAACGGGGCGGAGGAGTTAAACTGAATCTGACGTTAATGTTCAAGGGAGGAATTTTTTGATGATAATGGTAAAAATAATTATACAAAAATGACAAATTTTCAATTAAAGGGGAAGTTACCGGACACAATGACAATTAGTTACTAATACATATATTACAGTTGCTAATATTGACATTCTACTTTTAAAAAACGCTGGTATTACTCTCATTGAATCGGTTTTTGTTAGTCGGGTGTAAGTCCAAAAACTCATTAACCTCAAGGCCTGGATACACACGGCGCTTAATCGCCACAAGTGAAGGACGAAAGCCAATGGAGAGCCTTGATTTCGATAAATCGACGTCAATGGATCGAAATCAAGGCTCTCCATTGGCTTTCGTCCCTCTCTCGCGGCGATTAATAGCCGTGTGTATCTTATCTAGGCCTTTAGCGTCCTGCGTGATCAGCGAAAGACAAGGCTCATGATTTTTTGGGTTTACGCCCGTCTAACAGAAACCGATTCAATTTAGGATGCTATCTTTTTTTTTTTTTTATTAAGGCCAGTTTTTTGCCGGTTACTTGGCAGTGGAAGGCTTACTTGAGGTATGGCGAAGACGAGGGAAACGGCCCAAATGCATAGGATGAGCTTGACTGCTCTTGAGAGTTTTGAGAGGGTGCGAGCGAAGAACGGATGGCAGATGGCCACGTATCGCTCCACCGTGAAAGCCGTGATCGTCAGCACCGACGCGTTTGTCGACGTCTCTGCCGCAAGTCCGCGCAGCTTGCAGAAAGCTTCCCCAAAAATGTACGGATATCTGCAACAAAACCCACATTTTCTCGTAGAGTCGTGTAAAAAAAAATACAAGCGAAAAATACACTAGAAATGGGTTAAAAACTGCTATAAGTAAAATAAAAGAAGCGTGAGGAAGAACGTTTTAGGCCAATTATATGCCGCTTCTCAACTAGAACCAAAAGCGCAAGTCAATATCTGTATCCTTCCGCGAGTTGTTGATAAGTACCTATAGTTTTCGCCCATTCTGTATAAAGAGAGAGCCTTTCTCGGAGTAGCGACGATTTGTGAGGCGATGTGAGTGTTAATGTCGTGGTGCAACTATTCGAACTCTTAGGATGCCCGTGTTGCATATACGAAAAATTGAAGGCACTTTACATTTCCTTGTCCCTACCGTGATATCCGGGGCGAAGCGCGTAGAGCCGAACGGATAAATCGATAGTGAAACTACTAGACCTAGTATTTTTCGAAATTTGATTGTTGAAATTGAGAGGCAAAGCTATAGACAGAGATGACATAATGAGTATGGCGCGATCCTATGGTTAATTTGGTTGGTTCCTAGGGGCTAAGAGGGTAAATTATGGACTAAGGGTCTCTCGTGAGTTGCAGCTCGTTAGTCTACACCTCCTTTGTCCATTGCAAGCACCCGCTGCCACCAATAGGATCTCTCCGTATCCCTTTTGCCTTTTTCGTCTTTAGTTTTGTCTTTCAATTTTAACAATCAGCCCACAGTTCTAGCATGTTTTTAGTTTTAGCCAGGCTTCACGGCTAAACAGCACAGTGCGCGGTGTGCAATTTGAAGTTAAGTCTCGCGTTCCACGCAACGGAAAATAAAGTGTTCAGTGCTTCCGAGACCCGCTCGAAGGGTTTGTGGGAGTTCGCTTGCCATGAAAGAGAGGGAGGGGGGAGGGGGAAGGTGGGCAAATTGTTTGGGCGCCGTTACGGTGGTACATCTCTATACCCGTGAGGTTTGCTTTCGCCATGCTCCGAGTTATTAATCGTCTCAGCGTCTGGATTTGATATTTCCGACGCATTTCTTATCAACAATAACCACTGAATCTTGTTTTGGCGTCATAACTTCGCCGAGGATTCTCCCGAAGTGATTAATTTTTCCTCGTCGCGGTGCCCGTTTTGTGCACGAGAAGAGTTCGCGATGTCATTCACGATTCGGTTCGCGAATTGATTTTTCTAGGAATTTAATGGATATGACTTGAGGTATTATCACGAAGGGAGTTGCAAGAAGTTTAATGAATGCCGATTTGGTGTTACAGCTAGCCCTTAGATATTTTTTACGACTTATCCTTATGACATTAATTAGATTCGAGCAAAGAACGCTACACTTTTCACCGATATGATAAGGTAAAATTGACAGTAGTTGGTAGAATTTTACATTGATTTTTACGTTGATTATTACATTTATGGGATTTTTAACTTTTTTTATTTGGAACCTTATTCCCAATGAAATTCGACATTCCGCTTACAGCCGTCGTGCGTGATGCATGTAGTCACTCTTACAATTGAAGGCGTTTTGGTTACCTTTTCCGTCTTGCAGATGGATCTGCAGACCGATATAAATCAAATTTCCTTTCGTCTTTTGCATGCGCTGGGTGCAGATTGGGCATTTCTTGGTTGCGGTGTCTCATCTGCATCTCCGCTGACATTTCATCCGTCATAATTAAAGTGAATTGTATGAATTCTTTGAAACTTTTACTGAATTTTCCTCATGATTTTACAATGCTGATAGCGAAATTTTTCAGAAAATTCACTGTGATATAGATCATCAGTAAAAAAGTTTAGGCACCTTAACCAAGAAATGCCTTTTCTGCACCCCACGCTTCAATTTAACCCATATAAAACTCGGTTGGTTATATTTCTACACGAGAAAAAAAAAAGTATGGGCTATATAGACATACCGTCCGTTCCGGGCTCAGAGGCTAAAGGTTCCGGGTGCTAGAGTTGTAATTTCGATTGCTCCGGGTGCTATGCCCGGAACTTTCAGCCTTTGAGCCCGGATCGCGGACAATACATCTATATCGCCCGTAAGTACGGCTTCCACGACCGGAGTTTTTTTTCAGTGTAGCGCAGAGGCGGATCCAGAAATTTGGCAACATCGGATTTCCTCCATTTAAACTTATGCTAAACAATCGATTCTTCTCGGAGCATCTGGCCCCTCCAAGAATCGATACATTTCCATAGGTTTAAATAGAGAAAAGACAATTTTGCCAAATTGCTTGATCCGCCTCTGGTGTAGCGTGCGTCAAACCTGTCAAAAGACTGTTTAAAGGATGATATGATCTTTTGACTTACTTTGACCAGACCATGTAGATCTCCTGCGGGAGGCCGGAGACCAGGAGGAGGAGATCGGAGATGGCGAGGGAGAAGAGGTAGAAGTTGGTGGCGTTGTGCATGCTCTTGTTGCGGGCGATGACGCAGCAGGTGATGACATTGCCGACGGTGCCCGTGATGAGGATCACCCCGTAGATGATGGTGATGGGCACGACGATGTAGAGGGAGTCCCGGCGGGGGTACACCGAGCCCACCCCCGCCCCCACCTCCCCTCCGACGACGCCGACCCCGACTTCGGTCCCGTTCGTCCTCGGCTCAAGCGCGTCCATCCCGCCCCGACCGGGCGCCCAATGACAACCTCACATCCTGCCAACAGGTCCCGTTCAATTTATCAATTAAATACATATTTTAGAAGTAAGGATGATTAGGAACACAAAATATAGGTAACCAGGGCTGAAAATACACAATGGAGTAGTTGCATGTGTGAGGGATTTGCGATTTGACAATTGATTCATATGTAAAAGTTTGCGAGAAACACGATGATGCTACTGGTTTTCTCTGAAATCATCTCCCAAGCTCAAAAAAAGCTCTGAAGTTGAGGCCAAAATGGAAGGGATATCCCACGCTATCCTGAGAGTCCACTTCTACATCAAGACAAACTCTCCATGCAAAGATAGGGAGCAAATACATTAGCAGGGCTGCCGTGTTTTCAGTTTTGGAGTCCCCAAATAAAGTGGCAGCCCTGTCAATGTATTTGCTCCCTATTTTTGTATGGAGTGTTTGTTATGATGTAGAGGTGGACTCTCAGAATGGCGTGGGATATCCCATCCATTTTTTATTCACCTTGAGAGCTTTTTTTGAGCTTGAGGGTTGATTTCAGAGAAAACCAGTGGTACCATCGTGTTTCTCGCGAACTTTGGCACAAGAATCAACAGTCAAATCGCAAATTCCTCAAACATACAACATCTCCATTTAAAGGCCGCGAGGGTCCTAATATTGAGTATTGATTTTGTAGACACTACACCATAGATTATGAGAACACATTTGGACGTGTTTCTATCAAACGGAACTAAGCGCCATAGGAGGAGGGAGGGCGAGGGGGGCTTGGATTGGCGGGTGTTGCGGAACGCGATGCTCGTTCCGTCCTATCGCGATGCTTTTTCATGGCGCTTAGTTCCGTTTAACAGAACGCGCTATCCGGGATTCTAAAATCCTCAAAAGGAACTCAAATTGGCTTTTAGTTCCGCTTAACAGAAATACGTCCATTTAATATTCGGTCAAGTGAAGGTAATGTACACTCGGATTGCATTTTGCAAAAAAAAAAAAAAAAAAAAAAAAAAAAAAAAAAAAAAAAAAAAAAAACCAGGAGCATTGCAAGGTTGCTAAGATTGTGCGACTTCTTTTGTCTTGAAAGAAAAACCTGATTATCCATCATCAGTTTATATTTTACTCGCTAAAACTGTAAATTCAAGACGAAAATTACCATGTAAATTTCATATATTTTCATGATTTCATTAATTTTATTGCGAAGGACGAAGTTGCACGATCTTAGTATCATTGCAATCATTTCAGTTCTCTTTGCAAAATTCAATCCACTTAATGTTCACTTATTTCAAATTTCAAAAATAAGAGACACCTCAACGCGCGTTCATAACATCAAGAAGAAGCCCAGGATACTCAACCGAACAGACGTTGCGAAAGAGAGCGAGAAAATGTTCGGAACGCTGCCCAGGGATGGCTGCCAAAATATTGACACTTCTCACAGCTAAACACAATATAATAACATAATTTTGTTGTGCTCAATCTTAAGAAAACCAGGCGTTATTAGGGATAGGACGCGAGTTAATTAATTGCGGCGTGGCGCGGCGCAGAGATACAACTTTTCGAGCTCAATGGATGTCCGTGTTGCATTCGCAAAATTGTAGGCGCTTTGACGCGAGGCGTGAGCTCGCGATACTCCGTTTTTTGCTGCAAACGAGATGTCGCTCGGATTCCGGAGAATTACTAAACACCAAGGCCCGATTATGTTTCTTTTATATATCTTTGACTGTGTTTCTCACTAGCCCTTGAAGCACCACTCCAAATAACTCAAACGGAAACAAACACGGCATGAAAATAAAGCAATAAGGGAAAGGGAGCGGAGCGAGCTGATGACGGCGCAGGGATACAACTATTCGTGCTTGATGGATGTCCGTGTTGCATCTGCAAAATTGAAGGCGCGATGGCCTGAGGCGTAAACTCGCTCTGAACTACGAATGAGGTATCGTTCAGATTCGGGTAAGAAGTTTTCCTCCTTTTTCTTTCGAAGAGAATGTTGCTCTTTTTTACTCGCGGACTGTTCTCTTCCTAAGCAAACTGCACACACACGAACGTTAAGCACAGCAGTGTAACACTAATTTTTTACATATTCTTTGGAACCTCTTGATCACGATTCACCACTTAGACGGAGGCGGGCCGGAACCGGACCAGATGTTCCCGGGAACGTATTATTTTAATGCGGCTTCGGGCTTCCTGAGACCCGAAAGTTTTGACAAGGCGGCGGCAGCGGTGGAGGGTATATGATAATATCTTGAGGCGTCAAAGTCCCTGGTGCGAACGGGCCCTCCGAGACTCAGCATAATATCTCCTCTTTATGGAACCGCACTATTAGCCGAACTTCAGCGGCACATGTTGTAGCCTCAGGGGTATTTTTATCCCTCTCTGTGCCGAAAACTAACAGCGTTACCCACTGGAAAGGCTGAAATGGAGTCCTTGTTTACTGCGGGGATTTTGGATTTTATTTGAAATTTCATTATCTTACCTTCCGTAAAATTTAGCAAGAAACACAATAAAGCCACTGGTTTTCTCCAAAATTCACTTTCAAGCTCGAAGAAAGCTTTCACAGTCAAGATTGCAATGTAGAAGCATTCCGACCTTACATGCGAGAGTCCACTGACTATCGAAGGATAACGATGCTTGTATAATTTTTCAACTGGTCAGATTTGAGAAAGATAACTCAACAGAATTCTATAGAAAATGAAAAAGCGGATGTTTTAGTTACTGAGAATAAGCAAACACGGCATGAAAACAGAGCTAGAGAAATAAAGCGCGTTGACGACGGCGCAGAGATACAACTATTCGTGCTTGATGGATATCCGCGTTGCGTCTGCAAAATAGAAGGCGCGATAGCCCGAGGCGTAAACTCGCAATGCTTCGCTCTACGAGTGAGTTGTCGTTCCGATTCGGGGCAAAAGTTTTTCTCCTTTTCCTTCTTTCTCCTTTTTCCTTCGAAAAGTATGCTTTTTTTCTCTTGCACAGATCAGAGTTGCATCATGTAACTCTGACCGTAATACCGCCATTATGTAGTATTTTCATTTTTAAGATAAACACGTAAATCTTGTCTGATTTTTTTGCATATGAAGGCACATAAGAATTCCGTTTGGTTTTTTACTGTAAATTTTCTGTGAATCACGGAAAACGAAAGCTTTTCTGAAAGCGGCCGGGGCGATTTGTGTTTCCGATGCCGCCGAGAGCAGGATAAAGGCAACAAAATAAACATCACTGACCAAACATACCGGATAAAAGAGTGATTTTCTGCCTTTCGCGTTGTTATTTCACGGCGGAAGACTTTAATGAGTGGGAACTCAGCTTCCTCTATTCTCTCAACAAATGAACACCATCCAAAAAATCCATGAACCTCGATGATGATGTGCATCTATGGAGTTCAGGGCTCATCGTAAAGTGTTCATGGAATTCCTCTGATATTGCTGTCAAAGCGGGGTTATATCCTTTGCCACCACAGCTTTTTGAGAGCTGATGCGAATTTTTTCGATCGAATATTATGATTCCCTTCCGTAGCATATCCGATGTTTGTGCATTTTTTTCCATCGTATTTCATTCATTCGTTGCTTTCATCGGAAATTTGTAAAAGTGACCTATTGAAAACCCCCAAGCCTTGGACAGACGTTCAAAGTGAAGCCACCACTTTGAAGTTTTACTTTGAACGCGTGTCCTGCCTTTAGGTACACCTCCTCCTGTGGATTTGAATTTACTCGTTGAATTATTATAATCGGTGGCAACAAAGTTCGTCAAAATTTGGCATCAGAATGGAGCGACTCGAGCAAAGTCCTCTCTCCACATCTACACCTCCTTGGAGCTGCTTGAGATGGACGGCGGAACGAGTTGTGGCGTTTGGGAAACTAGGCACGTCCCAATCCCGCCCACACGCACGCTTTCTCTCGGGAGTAAAGCCACGCTTTGATACTTCATCTGGACACCAATGTTCATTATCCACCGTGCCTCATCTCGATTTCTATCCATCCGTCTGATCAATTGGGTTCCAATCAAGCGATTAACCAAAAAAATCCACATCGATAGAGAAAAATATTCCGAGATTTTTTCTCACTCTTTTTTTTCAAAATAATAATGCAGTCAATTATTAAAATTTGATGTATTTTAGGTGCTGGAAGGGCACTTCTTGGTTGCGGTAGGATATTGCAAGCTTTTACTTTGCTCTCTCGCATATCCAGGGAGGGACCTAGTAGGTTTCTTGCGGGGGGAGGGGGGCAGGTTCCTCCAGCCCCCATAGTTTCACCCTCGTTCGCTAGCTATTACAATTTTGGTTGAACACTCATATTCTCTGAAATCAAATACTTGATTTTGAATTTGTTTTGACTCAACGCCGCAATCACACGCTGAATGTGGGAGCTGAATGTGGCTTGAGTGTGGAAGTCATCGGCCGAATTTCGCGCGTGACGCGCAAAATTCAGCAACGATTCTCAGCGACCATCGGATAATGTCGGATTTGTCTGAACTATTCGAATAGATTTGATACACATCTGGATGAAAATAACTCGAATTTGCGAAATTTCAGCCGTTGGGCGATGACTGTCGACTGCCACATTCAGTTGCCAAATTCAGCGTGTGATTGCGGCATAAGGCCCCTGTTACCTTGGACGGTCACATTCGTCGAGTGCACTCAGCATGTATACCGCTAAAGCTTGAGAACAACCTCAATCATTATAAAATAAACCGCGCATGGTTCCCGTGAGGAAAAATAGTGTTTAAGGAAAGATCACTAGAGCCCGGCACGTAAGTTTCGGCAAGACACAACTCGCTTATTTACCTGAAAACAAGTTTAAGCGTTAACATATTGACTCTCTTGTGGTGTCCCTTCGCTGTTAAATCCACCAGGGCCTCCTGAACACATGCAGCCTACTGCTCTTTTGTCTTTAGTACCTGTAAGGCACCGAAAGAATCTAAACTGTTTCCAAGTTCTTTGATCTTGTAACCTGGTTCATTGTTTATGCACAGGAACACCAGATCGCAGCACTGAGAGACACATTTTACGCTTTGTTTAGAATTTCAAGCAGGTCTCCGCTGGACTA